CCCCCCCTCAACCCTCGAGCCCCTTCGAGCGACTGAGTTTGATACCCTCTGCCTAGATGCCCTAACATGTACATCGTACTGTTTTCTTGTACTTTCCTGACCTTTGTCCTCTCTGTCCAGGCACGTGTGTGGCGGTGCTTCCTGGATCCTTTCCGACAATGGCACCCACATAGACACAGACGCCGACTGGCTGCCCACGCTAGTCTGTACTAATGGAGAGGTGAGATATTTTCGTAAGAATGATATATTCTACCCATCCTTCTTCCCTGTCATAAGCAAAACATTTAGAAATAAAATTAGGAACAATTTTTTATCCTTTACAGCCCAGCTCGCATAGGTCTTGATTTCTGAGCTGTATTAGGTGAACTGCTCAAGTAAACAGTTTCCCTACCAAGAACCAATTGTATCTTTCACACGAAAGGCAATGCGACTAGTGAGTTCACCACTGACACAAACGTGTGAGAAAAATCTCGAAGATTGAGACCTTGGCCCAGTGTTAACTGAAACAAAAAAGGAAGAAAAAAAAGAGAGAAAAAAAAGAGAGAAAAATGGAACAGCGAAAAACCTTTTATAGACGTTTCTCTTTGGTGTTTCTTTTTCAGATGATTTGTAAGAGTACACTGGTCTATCTATTACCCGTCAGCGTAGATGGAGGTGAAGACGAGCCATAACCTGTATTGAAATTAAAGCTTATAAAGCCAGTGAATAGTCTTGTGCACTACATATCCTTTCAAATCTATGGCTAACACTATTTTGTAATTACTTCTTTGTGGCAAATTATATTCAGCATCGTTGTGTCTGGCTAAAAAACTGTTACACTCACAGTTCGGTCGCAGTAATCATAGAAATTGGAGACTAAGCGTTTTACGCATTCAAGGCAGAGATGCTTATGCATATATTACCCCACTGTATAGGCTCTCTAACTCCGTCTGCTCAACATACAGACACACACACAGACACATCACACACCCACACACATACACACACATACACATACACACACATCACACACACGCATACAAACAAAAACACGAGCGTGCCAGACACACTCACATAAACACAGGTGAAGCTTCAGTGGAAATGGTTGGTCGCCTTGATGACAGTAGTAGCATCCTTCTCACACCAATCTAAGCATCAAATAACCGAGGCACGAATCCCATTTAGGCATCATGCACTGATTTATTGAGACCTTTTAAAGGCTGTCTGTTGACTTGGCTCGGTCCTATGGGAGATGTCCTTTAAGTTGGGAGGTCCTGCCTCTAAACTTATCACAATGTCAAAAAAGACGTTGAATCCATACCACACTAGTCTATACCTTACCACATCTTATCCCCCTCCCCCACGTGGATGATTGATGGGTTCTCTGGCGTGGTCTGCTTCATTTACTTATCAACTGATATCACCCTTACCTCTCTTCCTTCTTTGCTATGTATGTTACTCTTTAATAACACTTATAATCTTTGGCATTTAATTGTATCACCTATTTGTATTGGAAGTTCGTAATACTCGTACTAAAACTAGAACCTAACCAGAACTAAAACTACAACAAAAACTAGGACTAATTCTAAACCTCACCCCACGACCCCCCCCCCCCCAATCCATCACAGGTGAACCGTCTGAACTATACCACCGCTAGCTGGAACCGAGAGATCGGCAAGCAGGACTTGGAGCTAGATGGAGAGATCTGGTGGTTTAGTAAACCCACAAGCTGTGACGAGCAGCCCGTCTACTCTCAGTTTGTTGACGGTTCAGTGGCCTATGGCTCCCTCAACAAGGTACAGTGTAAAACCAGTCTGCGCGCAGTCTATTATGGTTACTTGTCCACTGGGACAGACACAGCCCGATTTTTTGCCGGGAGGAAAAAAAACAACCGGTCTGGTCGTTTCCGTCTTGTGTGTCCACACAGTTCGGAAAAGACACGTCTAGTGTCTAGTCTGTTGGCCTACTTATTCCCTGGATGTGTACGCTGCTATACCGTTGTCGTGGCGGGCTGTGTTCTCGGTAGGGGACTATAAATAGTCAGGAGGTCACATGTATCCAAAGCGGGAAAAAGAAAAGAATGGATTTTAAAGGAAACTGGCAAAATTATTAATATGCATTTTAAATCGCTTTGCTAATTTTGAGGCGCTGATTACGAATAGAACATTAGAATTTTATTCCGAATTCAAAACTAATGGGGTTTTTTTTTTTAGCTCCGGAGGGACCTATGGCTGATGAGTCACTGCGCGCCCGGTTAAAATGCAGCAAGCAGCTTTCCATCCGACACATCTTTTGTCGGGGCGTGTCGTGTCGTGTCTGTTGACACAGCCAAACGGAACCTTCATTGATTTTTTAGAAGAAAAAAAACAACTTTTGCTCCATTTCATCTACTAGCTTTCCGAGGGACGGACGGAATCGGGTCGGTTGGTGTCTGTTCCAGGGGACACGCACTCTAACTGAGCCTCCTTGCTGTCATGTTATTTGTAACCATTAAAATTATTGACACAATTTCGTTTATTTTGGGGAAGGGTTTTCTTCGCCATCCTAGACAACGTGTGTTTGTGTGTGTGTGTGTGTGTGTATGTGTGTGTGTGTGTGTGTATGTGTGTGTGTGTTTGTGTGTGTGTGTGTATGTG